GTACTGCTGTTCTGTGAGATCCATTTTGTCTATTTTATACTTTGTAAACAATAATATAAATTTATAATATTATTTGTATATATGTATGATACTGATACTTCAACAATGTTTTAGGATTGAAAGTTAACCTTAACCTAACCTAATAAATTTTACTTTTTTTTAAAGTAACTCTCAATTCTAAAACAGACTAAAAAACCATTAAAAAAGAAATTAATATGCTCATTTATTATGTGTGATATATAAAATACTTTATCTTGTGAGGTCGCTTAATGGCCAGGCCGGGAAATAATATTATTTTATATATATATATAAATGTACAGGGTTGGGTACGTCCCTACAAAACGCTCTTTCAGACCCGGGTAATAAAGTATCATTTCTAATTCTAATATAAAATACTTTATCTAATTTTAATATTATACTCTCTTACTTATCACAGCAACGGCCAACGTTTTCGCGGTGTATAGAGACAATTGCGCTTATATGTTCTAAGATCCCGCGTTTATATTCAAATTTAGTAGAGTTTACTCTCCTAACCCACCTCGGAAGCAGGGTTCATAGAGTTAACTCCGGGGTTACTTTACTCTCACTTTTGGAACGAATAGGCTCCGCCCATATAGTTACTTACTTCGCGTTTTGGAACGGCGTAGGGTTAACCCTGCTACTCAGAGTAGAGTTTTGGAACGTACCCCAAGTGCAGCTAAAAAGAAACAGACAACAGACCCTAGGTTATGTACCATACATACATACATATATACACATTTCATATATTAAACTGTGTCCAAATGTGAATTATCTACATCGATACGTTGTCAAAACAGTCCCTCAACGACATAAAATAGCTCGCAATTAAAATGCGCTCTGTAAATCATTCGAAATACTTTAAATTATTTTTCTGCGAAAGCCGTCTGTTGAGGTTAGAATGTGATGAATGTTCATAAAGAGGCCTAACAAGTGATCGTGTCTGGTTTCAGGGTCATTTTGGACTGCTCGAACTAATTGATCCAAAGACTCAATTTCAAACCGCGCCACGAGCTGATTACAAAAACTACAAATTCTCCATCACAGAACACAAAAAGTATGTGATCGAAGAAGTGAGGAGCATTCTTGTATTTAAAAAAAGAAAAGGAAAAGTTGCTCTTGTCACTCGAAAATATTTTCACATCTTAGCTTAGTGCCTGCTACATCCTTGGCTAAGTATGAAGCATAGTTCTCAGTCAGAATCAATAGTATGAAGCTACACACATGTTTACTATATGTCTCCTTGTTACTTTCGCTCTGCGTTCTTTATGGATCGAGCCGTAATTATCCAAACAGCAGCTCTGAAAAACATGACGATAATGATTGTATCGCAGAATCTCCACTGTGTAAAACACATGTGTCTTTAGGCCCATCCTGTCATGATACTCAAGAAGTTCAAGTCGCATTTTCTTCTAGTGTAGTCGAAAATGAGTATATAATCAAATTCAATGGTTACTATAGAGCATGTGCACGAGAAAATTATATAAGAGCTGCTTTAAACTTGTCTAACATTGAGAACTGGAAGATCATATTGCGCAACAATGCAGCATCTGTGTATCCTAGCGATTTCGATATTATACACTTAAAAGAGACGGATAAATATGAAGGGCTTAGGGCTTTAAGTAATCATCCATTTGTAAAGACTGTGTCACCGCAAAGACTTATACGTAGAACTTTAAAATTTATCAATAGAACGTCAAGTGATTCTGATATCTTAGCACATAAGAACCCCAAAAGAAGAATCAATGATCATGTAAGTTTGCAAATTGTCAAAATTTTGAAATGTCATAAAATCAATGTAGCTATAAATCGATGAATTTTCAGTATTGAACGGTTACATTGTTCAATACTGAAATATATCTAAGGCTGTTGTGTTAAGAAAAAATACTTAATTTCAGAATGTTCAGCCTGGGCAATCAACAAACAGACATACATCTCGAAAATTATTAAGAGCTATACCGAAACAAATTACGTCTTTACTTGAAGCTAATGTCTTGTGGAAAAAGGGTATTACTGGGAAATATATAAAAGTAGCGATATTCGACACTGGGCTTGCCGCTAGTCATCCACATTTTAAGAATATCAAAGAGAGGATAAATTGGACGAATGAAAATACTCGAGAGGATAGCCTAGGCCACGGGACGTTTGTAGCTGGTGTTATCGCGTCATCCTCTAGAGATTGTTTTGGTTTTGCTCCAGATGCGGATCTTCATATTTTTCGCGTTTTCACAAATGCTCAGGTATCTCCGTTCTTCGTGCTTTCTTTTTACTTGTAATTTTATCACTTAAAAAAATTTGTATTATCTGAAATGTAATAGGTGTCTTATACCTCATGGTTCTTGGATGCATTCAATCATGCCATATTTCGCAAGGTGACAGTGTTAAATCTGAGCATTGGCGGTCCAGATTTTATGGACCAGCCATTCGTCGATAAAGTGTGGGAGGTTACAGCTAATGGTATCATTATGGTGTCTGCTATTGGCAATGACGGACCTTTATACGGGTAAGTAAAATAATATTGCAATTTTCATGTAGTTTATTTGAAAAAGAAAGAATTTAGGAAGACTTTTCAGTTTTATATTACCAGATGCAGGATTCTGTAACTCTTCTTAACGACAGTTTCGGTATTGCTGCGCAGCTTTTTTTTTACTATATATAATAGCTGTGCAACGATACCGAAATTGTCATTAACGAGTTACAGAATCCCGCTATAGAATCGGAAATCACTGCTCTATACTGGGTGTTTCCTAACATGTGGGACTTATACATATGAACTTTTTTCATTGTTTTTTTTGTCTCCTATCCACTGCTGAAGTAGAAGTGGGTTCCACATGTTATAGAAAACACCCTGTATATATATATATATATATATATATACACATGTATATTCAAAATGATCACTCTTTCCACTCGTATTAATTAAACACATTTTACTTACAATTAGTTTAGCAAGTATTGTATGCGCTTTAAAGTTTGAGCTGTTCTTTTAACTCCCGTGTATCTAGAAGAACTATAAGTCTGATTAGTTTGTGTTTGTACGTCATGGTATTTCGTTTGCACAGCACTTTAAATAATCCTGCCGATCAAATGGATGTGATTGGTGTAGGAGGCATCAATTGGGACGATCAAATAGCAAGGTTCTCTTCGCGCGGCATGACCACGTGGGAATTACCTTATGGATATGGTAGAATCAAACCTGACCTAGTCATATATGGATCAGGAGTAAGAGGGTCCGCTTTGCAGAATGGATGTAGAAGTCTCTCTGGTACCTCCGTTTCTAGTCCTGTCGTTGCCGGCGCGGTAGCGCTATTAGCTAGTGCATTTGTAGATACAAATGTATCTAAAATTAATAAAGAGAAGGTAATTATCGATTCTTTATGCGCCAATATATATATATATATATATATATATATATATATATATATATATATAATTCTATAGAATATTATAGGAAAATAGAATTTTATTGCGTTTTATGCTTAATAAGTAATAATAAATGTATGTAAGGTAACACCGGCAAGTATGAAACAAGTGTTACTGAATTCAGCCCGTCGCTTACCTGGGATTGGTATGTTCGAGCAAGGCGCAGGAAAATTAGATCTCTTGCGGGCATTTCATCTCTTAGAGTCATATACTCCTACTGTCACGCTCCATCCAAGGTAAACTTTTCTTTACTTTTCTTCCTATATAAAAAAAATACCGTTTAATCTTGTCTATTACTTGATCTTGATTGTATCTGCTTGATTAATTAATTCTATCGATTCATTAGCATGAACTATTGTTTATAATGTATATGTAATAACACAATCGGGTATATTAAATATAATAAGATAATAGATCGATCAAATCTTGATTACATGATGCAGTAATTAATGTTTTCTTCTTCTGTTAATGATTAGTTACATAGATTTGACGGAGTGTCAATATATGTGGCCGTACTGTACTCAAGCTATATATCATACCGGTATGCCCACAATAGTCAATGTAACTATAATAAATGGTTTGGGTGTGGCTGGAAATGTAGTAAATCTTACCTGGCATCCGTATGCCGGTAATGGCAATGGTGAACATATTGATGTGGCGATAACGCACAGCGATGTCTTGTGGCCATGGTCCGGTTGGTTAGCAGTTGCTATAACAGTCCCATCAACATCCCACGATTGGCAGGGCATCACACAAGGTTTGAATATAATTTTGTTTCTCTAGTAGATCAATTTGTATTATAGTAGACATTTCACGCATTACATTTTCGTACAGGTCATATCTCACTCACGGTTGAGAGCGATGGCGCAGGCAAACCACGGCAATCAACAATAACACTCCCATTGCAGGCAAAAGTCATACCCACACCTCCTAGGCAGTGAGTAAAAGTATACAATGTGTTAGATAATCGTTACTTTTGAACATAATGTACTGACATACGTTGCGTGGATATTTAATAAGATTATTTATATTTCTTATTATCTCTTCAGTAAACGTATCTTATGGGATCAGTACCATAACTTGCGATATCCACCTGGATATTTTCCTAGAGATGACTTGCGCGTAAAGAACGATCCTCTCGACTGGAACGGAGATCATATACATACAAACTTTAAAGACATGTATCAACATTTACGTAATGCCGGATATTATCTTGAAGTGCTTGGCTATCCGTTCACTTGTTTCGACGCGAGACATTACGGGACCCTACTTATCGTAGATACGGAAGAGGAATTTTTCCCTGAAGAAGTATGCGTTTATGTCTCACAAAATTATGCTAGTTTCTACCGCCTATATAAATGCCGACCTTGCCTAAAATGCCTATAACTGATAAATTGGTTTCAACCACAGGTGGTAAAGCTAAAACACGATGTGGAAGAAGACGGTTTATCAGTAATTGTATTTGCAGACTGGTATAATACTGCAGTCATGCGAAAAATAAAGTTTTATGACGAGAATACCCGTCGATGGTGGATACCTGAGACGGGAGGTGCCAATATTCCAGCTATAAACGATCTGCTTTATCCTAATTGGGGTGTGGCATTTGGCGACGAAGTACGAAACGGTCAGTTCACTCTTGGCCAACATGCGCCAGTCATATTCGCGTCTGGCACTACACTAACTAGGTAAAATATTTTGCGCGCGGGAAAACTGGTTTAGATTGTATACAGCAGATTTTATATTTGTTCAGATTTCCAAAAGGCGGAATCGTTCTGTATGCAGAGTTATATGACCAAGGTCAAGAACTTTTGGAAAAAGAATCAGGGATACCTAAGCTTGTACCGATACTCGGACTTTTACAAGTGACTAGTGAGAAAGATGTTGAAATGACACATAATGACAAGATTAATAACGAAGTTGATCAAGCAGATCAGAATGACGATGTCAAAGAGCAGACGAGTATGTCCGGTAGACTCGTTGTTTATGGAGATTCAAATTGTATCGATGACAGCCATTTACAAAAAGGTATGTTGTTACAAGAAAGAGATGTTAATGACAAAATATTTTAAATATTGATAAATAATATTTTACATTACACGATATTTCAAATTTTCGTTTCTTTCTGAAAAATTTGATAATCTTTGAATTACATAATTTTATGGTTTGGATATTATTTACTTGTTAAAATGTATTGTTATCCATATTTAGCCTGTTTTTGGATGCTCGATGCTATCTTAGAATACACAACGACAGGTTATGTACCTACTGTTTTCATGGATGAAAATCAGAGGGAGCACAAGACTGTTAAAACGACTAGTAGTATAGAGACTGGAGAATTACCACGTCGAATGAAAGAAAATCATTTTAGTCGCCACAGTAAAGTATTAATGACTAATGAGCCAGCAGGCAGTTTCAGATCTCTTCCATTATGTATCATCCCTGTATATGCCATGCCTGTACCAGTTAATGAATCTGTGCCAATGTAAGTAATTTTACATGCATATATAAATACCAATCCAATTCCAAACGTTTCGTAAACCTGTCCAATTCTTTTCTTGTTCCTATCTCGATTTCGGAAAAGTAAATGCATGCTAGAGGAAAATTATCAAGATATCTAGTCTGACGTTTTAAAATTGCATCCCCAATTGTCCTATAATTATGATGAAGGATTGAATAATCAGAAGTCAGCTAAAAACGGCTGATGGCTCTCGTGTAAAGTGTTCAAGCAGATTATACCTTTGTTTCATTATTATTAATCGTTTCTAGGTTTTGTAAACTACTTGAATATTCCTTTTTTCGTCTCTTCTTTTTTTACAGAGAACTTTACAAGCCTCAGAAGCTGCTCTCTATGGGAGATACCATGAGCGCGGCAAATTCAGTAGTACAGGATACAGACACTTTGTGGCTTAAGAGACGAGTTGGTGGAGCTAGTATCCCTACGTTGCAAAATCTCGACACAGACATTTTGGCTTATGATACAAAAGAAAATCAGGGAAATGAACAAATAATTGTATACCAATGGAAATACGTAATAGTAATAGTTATTATAGTGATAGCTTTCGTGTATTTGTGTAATCATTTGGGATTGAACAGACATTCGCGCAGGAAACGTATTATACTCAGAATATTTAGAGCCATTCGAGCATTAGTTGTGCGAAGGATACCTGCGCAAATGTAACTTGATAATTTCGCACAAACCATTACTGTGTATTGTACATAAAACGTATAATTAAGGTAATTTTTTTAGGAAATTGGGTATATTTAAATTCCAAGACATTTATATGCAAATTAGATATTATGTGCCTTTAAAACATACAATATGACATATGAATTTGTAGATTATACAAATAAATTATTTTGATACAAAAAAATCACATGCTATCTATTGCCTTTATTTTTTTAACCAAACGAGATAATATAATATTAAACCTAGATTATTATTAAACTACATATTAGACCTAATGAGATAACATGATATTAAACATTTTGCTTTTTACATTTTTTCCTCTCTTTGAAGAAATAATTTCTAGCCCTACTTTAGGTACATCAATTATAAAATGGATTATAAGTAACCCAGTGTGCTCTATCTTGCTCCGTAGCAGTTTTATGAGTGGTAAAAATGCTTTTGAAAACTTCCGACGCTTTAGGATCCTTTGCGACGCTATAATCGCTTTTAGCTTTTTTATAAGCAGGATCATCGGCCTTGTGATTGTTGTTCAATTTAGGGATTATTTTGTCCTCCTTCTTCATCTTCTTCTTGGACACTTCGCCTGTCTTCTTCTCTTCTGTTGGTACATCATCATCTAACTTCTTCTTTTTCGATTTCTTTTGACTAGCTTTCCTGAGTACCGCTCGCTCCTTCATGAGATCCAGATCGTCATCTTCCGCATTTAATATGACTATGTCCGTCTCCTCGAACGATTGCTGACATTTGTGACATAACTGTGAAATTCAACATTTTCTTGTTAAACTTTAAATTACGTCGGTATTTATTTCTGCTATATAAATACCGGATATTTTACTTACTGTACTCTTTACTTCTTTGAGAGCACGTTCGCTCATTACGCAGCCGCACGACCATAAGAAACAGAATTTATATTTTCCGTTCATTTCCAAACCAATAACTGGACAAATATATGGGCTTTTGCCTCCGTCGTTGTAACCATCTCCTTTCTCAGCTTTGTCGCCATTGAATGCTGGGTTTGGTGTCAAATTAAGGTTCCTCACATCCTTCAAGTTCTTGATGTGTACAGCAGATTCTGGAAAAGTATTGCGATCCAAAAGACCTTCCAGCACAGATTCTTTGCTGTACAGACGACCCAAGCTGCAACCCACGATCGGTGGTTGCAATGGCAATTGCCGTATCGTACAGTGCCTCCACTTGAAAGCTAATTCCGCTTCCTTGTCTTTCTGTAAATAATTATACGCAAGCGCATAAATATTTAATTAATTACTACAGATAGATTACTAGATTTTATAAATAGATAAATTTTATAAATAGGTAAATTATTAAGGTCATTAAGTATAAAAGCAAATATACATAATTCAAAAAAGTTATTTACTAAAATCACTTTAAAAGTAGTTCCGCAATTACTTTAAAAGAAGCAAGCATAAAATTTTTTGCGTTCCGTCAATAATTATATAATACAATATTAAACTTTGTCTTCTTCTAAATGTAGATCATTGTACAAGCATAGACAAAAAAGAAAGTGATTAAATAAACAACATTGGCTTCTATATGAATATTAGATGTATAAATTAATTTGGTGCCTTTACATTCGAGATATTTTATAATATAAAGTTTTGAGATTAAACATTTTTTGCCCTTTCATGATTTGTAAGTGTGGACCTAAGTATGGACCTTTATGTTTTTAAAACACCATGTTTTGGCGACACAGACAACAAAATCTCACGAAACAGCAATGAACACGATGACGTCGAAAGAAAGCAGTATTTGAGACACTGCATTTTTTCACATTACAATTAAATACAATTAAAAAAGAATGCTGTTGAAACCATGGAAATTATTTGTTCTAACTGACTCATACAACGTGCAAAAAGTATCAGTTTTTAAAATTAGGTGAATCATTTTGCAGCACAACGCTCGAGTATGCCGCAAAAGAGGACGAAGGATGTCATCTATGCTTTGGGCTAGAAAATTATCCGTTATTCAGATTATTCATCAGACCTAGCCCCGTCAGATTGCAATCTGTTCCATCTGTTTGCTTCAACATTACCTGGTTAATACACATTTCAAGATAATGAAAGAGGTCCGAAAAAATCTCAGACTTTATATAAATTCAAAACCGTCAAGTTTCTTCTATGAGGATATTCTTGTGAGCTGCCCGATAAATGGGACAAAGTCATATAAAATAATGGAAATTATTTCACAACATTAAACCTGTATTTGAATTTTGTGAAAAAAGGCACCCAATTAATTTCACATAATATAATATTCAAGATCGCAGAATAACAAAAGAAAAAAAATGAAAATAAAAAATCTTTCACATTCGTGTTTTACGCACCAAAATACACAATATGTTAAATTTTAGCCAAATTAATGAGGAATTCACTTTCCTTCAGATTTACCGAAAATCACCCGAGATATAATAAAAGCAATAAAAATAAAATAATCTCAAATACCCAATAATCAGCAATTCCAATAAAAAAATCGGACTTCTCCGATTGAGGTTATAGATATTGTTTGGTATGGTTTGATACATGTACCAAAGTTGCTATCGGTGGTTGCTATTGGTGTTGGTGCAGTTTGATACAGCTTTGGTTGCTTATACTAAAGTCACGCCAAAAATCGCCTATAATAGACTTTCAAATCCTACCTGCTCCGGTTTCTTTTTCACTCTAACGAGCTCGTCTCTGCGAGGAATAGTGCCACCGTCGCAACCCATGATGACACTTCACACTTTGCCACAAATATCTCGATATATTTTATATTATATATATATATATATATTCCTCTTCTTTCTTGATTCCAACGGAAGCAAACGCAAGACGACAAACAAACCAAACAAGATGTTACAGAACACTGGGAACACAACAAACTAAATACGTCCACGTCCACGACGACCACGACGAGAATGAAAAAGAGAAATGGCGGCGTATACAGGGTGGGCAAAATAAAGCGATGCGAGTCATGTCGGATACCTCTATGAAGTTGGCCGGACAACTTCAACGTATCGAACTTTCATTAATTGGAATCGATTGGTGGTCGTTTGGTGGTCTTTGGTAGTCTAGTCCGATCGTTTGGTGGTTAGTCGTTTTCCTGTAAAATAAAAATAAAATTTCCGGTGTGAAGTTAGCCGGACAATTTTTATTTTTTAACCAATTTAACTTTTTTATAGCTCATTCGACGCGGAATCGTTTGGTGGTCACGAATAT